TGAATAAATTGGTTTTCTTCACTTTGGTTATCCCCTAATCCCTTTTAGGCATACGATAGTTTTGGAACTTTATACAGTGTCTCTGGTTAATGTACCTCTGAGAAGTTAGATAAGGCTGATCCTTATTTAGCCTGCATTCAGTAGAAATACATTGAGCTATTTTTGGCTGAGTGCCCTTTTAATTTTCCAAGCTCTCAAATGGAGTCATTTAAAGTATAAAAATGTATGAACATCTTTCCTCTGAACTAAATGGTACTCTTTTTCTTGGCTTAATTTCCTTTGGAAGTAAAAGCTATACTATACTTCACTGGTACCAACAATCAGTAATGTAGTGTAGGTTGCCAGACATAAAGATTAGATAAGTATTTGAATTTCCAGTAGTGTTTTCATGGAATTATCTATATGCAGCTCATATTCTATTCTGAGGACCAGCTGGGCTTGCAACAGTAGTTATATTTCTCATCTAAAAGGAAATTATATTTGCTAAAATGGAAGGACTCAAAATCTATTTGATGTGTATTTATACTTTTTAAAAATCAGCCTAAGGGTAAATACTGAAGTTGTTTCTGAACATATTCTAGAATCCAAGAATCCTTTGAAGATGTAACATTTACACTACACAGTTTACTTGAAATGGCCCAGAACTACAAAAAACCCAAAAAACAAAACAAACCAACCAAAAAACTGCAAAAAACCCCCAACCTCCCTCCCCCCCAAAAAAAACCGCCAAAAAAACAAACCTCCCAAAAAGTGGCTTTTAGTTTCTCCTAACTAAATTTTCCTTTATGATGAAATCTGTTATATAATACTGAGATAATACTAACTTTCTAATAACAAGCAACTCTGCTCTAAGAGGTAACCATGTAAAACTGGCCCATGATTACTGATCAGAGCTATTCCTTGACCTATTTCTGTAGACTGAGGTTTTACTCCTGTTATTGTGGGAGAACCAAGACAGCTTAGAGAGATGGGGCTGCAACTGATTTCTCTTCTACATCATCAATTTTGAAGGAAGTGATAAAGTTTCCTGAAATTTATGTTTCTCAACAAATTTCTATTGCAAGAATCAAACTTTTCTCCTGCTTTCCCTTCCAAAACTTTTCTCCACTGGTTCAATTCTCTCAGTCACCCACTATGAGGAAGCTGGATGTTATAAAATTCCATATTTATAACCCAAGCCTATTAATATTTCACTTTTTCATCAAAACCAATAGTGGATTTCTCTTGCTGGCCAAGCCAGCTTACACAGCTTTAAAAGAAATTTCAGTTTTATTTCTTTCAGAATACACAGAAAGATTCTCGGATTCCGGAGCTGAAATACTCATAAATCATAATTCATAAAGCCCTCAATTATTAATCTTATTGTGTTCTTCTGTAATGGCTAGAGGAGTGCTTGCCCAGGATGAAAGGAAATGAAGATGTCTGGTTGGTAGGGTTCATTTTGCCACCCTGGGAAGTGCAGGAACAGGGCACTTTACCAGCTGCATCTCATATGCTATTTAATCCTTACAGCCAGATTTGCTGCTTGGTCCATGCGTGTGTGAGGCATGAAACTGTTCTTCCACTGTCCCCATGGGAGGACAGGAGCAGTGACATTGTCAAACAACACCTGTGCCTTTTAGGACTGTTTTGGCCAGGTGCTTTTCATTTCATCAGGACCAGATGCATTAGGAATAAGGTATTTTTTTTTCTTGCCATCTTCCCCTGCAGATTGCCTCCATTCCCCTTCCTAGTTGAATATTTGAAATTTCAGAATTATACTGAAAAACTGTGTAGCTGAGCAGCTCCTGAATCTGGGAGCACTCCAGGCTGGGGATGCCAGTGCAGGCTTCGTACGGGCTGCAAGAACAGCCACAGTGTTAATGCACTCAGTGTGTTTTACGGTGTCTCTTTGTGCCTTGACCTCAGAAAGTTTCAGTGCTCTTCAGAGGGTGTGTTTGTATAATAAGGAGTGTGCAAAGGTGGGAGGTGAGACTATGTCTCTTTATATACTACTTATTCATTTTTACTCACTTCCTAAATCCTTCATCAGAGTCTCAAGGGATCATTAGTTTCATATAAAGCTAACAACTTGTGTGTCTTTCCAGTATTTAGGTAAGTGGAAAAGAGCCCATTTTCCTAATCTCATTGGCATCTAGATTGTATTTCATGGATTTTATCATATGGAACTAATATTTCAGTACATGTCAAAAAGACTTTGCTTAATACAATCCAGCATTGCTGATTATACTGGCCAATTTATACAACACAAAACAATTAGGATGATACATGTGCAATATGAATATGGCATAAATAAATATGAGCTGAGCAACATGATAGTGAACAGACCTATTTATCGGACACTCTTTGCTGGATATTTGACTGAACAAAGAGGGACAGAGACAAAATAGATGGGAAGATGCTTCCCTGTAAGCCCAAGGGTTGTGTGCATACAGCACATTCAAGTGTGTGCAAGAAGCAGCAATATGCAAAGGATCTTATCAGAGCTATTCCTTCTACAAAGCTTTGCTGAACTCCTACAGAAAATCCAGAGGAGTGCAGGAGTTTTGCCCTTCCAGCTCACTTGTGTTCCTGAGGCCAGTACTAAAGCCATGAATATTGCTCAGAAAAATTGGTAGGTATTGTTGGACTTACAGGACACAAGTTTACGAGTCTGCAGGCATGGAGACGTGAGAAGAGATCTGCCCTGGAAACTTTTCTGGGAGTGGTGGAGATGAAGGTGGCCCATGAGAGGAGGAGAATGTTGCTGGGAATGAGATAGTCTCTCAGATAAACCAGCCCATGCAGGGTCCTCCCAGCAGCGTGATGGGTTTCAGTGCCAGGAGCAGGGGGAAGGAGTAAAACAGACATACGCGCACACAGCCAGATCCTCCGTTTGTGCCCCAAAGCCTTTCATGCAAACATATGCAGAGAGCCTCCAAAGAAAGCTTAAATTAACCCAGGTGTTTATTTACTTAGTGGCATAACAGTAGTTTGCCTGAATTTCATCCTCTGATGTGTTTGGTGAGCAGTTCTCCACACCCTAAGGGCAGTGGCAGGGTAGGTTCCTCAGTTTTGCATACATGGCAAATTAGCCCACCATCAGACACTTTTGCAAGGCCAGATTTGAAAAATAGTAGGGTCAGAGAAAGAAGAGATATAGACAATGTGTCATCTGGCAAATTATTTGAATAAAAGCTGATGGGGAGAATGTTGTGTGTTTGCTTGCAAAGTTTTAGCATCACAAGAACCTATCGTCCAACACACGGCACATTGCAGGAGTTTAGCATTTATGGTCTCATGGCACTAACTGCCACTGCTCTCCTGAAGGCACTAACAGTGTATCTAAGTCTAAATCTACTGCTCCTGTTCCTGCAGCATTGCAACAATTCCACGCATCAAAGTCCTGCTGCAGTCTCTCCTCTTCTTCACCTTTGTTGCCCTGGGATCTTGCGGGACTCCAAAAGTTTCTCACATTTTCCTTTAAAGGGATTACTTCTGGACATTCAGCTGTGAGAGGGGAATGAGATTCTGGCAACTTTAATGTTGTCCAAGGGTATTTAGGTTCAAGTGATGACAAATGAATGTAATTAATATATTAGAGTATGATTCTGTAAGTACTCCCACCCTCAGAGTAGTTTTGCCTGTTTTTAAATACAGTTTCACAACATAATTCATTATGTGATCTGAGTGCATGTTGAGCCAATTTCCACTTGGATCCATGTCCTAAAGGATTGTAAGAAACGTGTTATTCTGCCTAGCACCAGGGATAACACGTGGTTCTCAAACTGAATTCGCATGAATTGCTTTCAAGTAGCTGCACTCCAACAAACAGCTGGTTGGACTAAAAGCTCCAGAGGAAGCATCTCTGAAGTCCCAGGAACACATGCAATCAGATCTGTCCCAGCTCTTCCTGATGGTCATTGCTTTCACTCAGATGCAAGATTTGGTTTAAAAATGTTTGCTAGCACCACCAGCCAGGGTAAAGACACAATTCCTGCTCTAGGTTAGTAGCCTCATATTTCAGAAAGATGATCCACACCACTGCCCTCCTGTACTTGAGTACCTGATCAAACTGTCAAGGTATTACAACTTTCTAGTCCCAAACTTGGTTCCAATGGCTGTGTTCAAAACTTAGGAAGACTTTTCCGTGAAAAAGGACTTGGATTTTGCTTTAGATATTTTCAGGATTTTTTTCTTTGATCTTTAGGATTGGTTGATCTTTGATCTTTTTTGATCTTTATTGTTTGCTCCATTGGTTGACACATTTACCACCATAAGACACAATATGTTTGTGCAAGATCTTTTGCTGTTGGAGACCTGACATACACACCTTTTACTTTTCTGGGTTTACATGATGCAGAGGGTGAGTCAGAGCAGGAATCTGAATTACCCTCGATTGCTTCTACCTCTAGAGATAACTTACAGTTCCTATGCCAACTAGCATCCCACACTGATGAAGAAGCATTAGTAGTAGTGTTCCATCATCCACTGGATGGATAGGAAAATTCCCCTGTTGACCTAGAAAATTATGGCACAGCACAGCAATATTATTTACTATGTCTCTATTATATATAATATTTCTACACAGAGAAACACTAAAGCATTAACCACTCAGTGAATTAGCCCCAAACCAAGAAGGATGACTGCTAAATAAAAACAACACTTTTTAAGAGCCTTAAGTTATTTTAAAACATAGGCCATGTGAATATATATATATCATCTTGACTTATTCTTTTATTTGGAACTGTCCGACTGGATTGCATTTGCATACAAAATTTGAAAATGCAAACTGGAATAGATGAAACAAGTATTTTAATTGTGGCTTCTTAAAGTTTACAGAGTATAAAGTACAAGCAGTGAATACTTGTGCATGCAGTTCACATGTTCATAGTTCAAAAATTAAAAGTCCTCCAAAATTTGCACCCATTGTGCTATACATTTTGAAGGAAATTAGGGTAAAAAAGAGAACCTACTGACTACGGAAAAAAGGGCTGGCTACTCAGGAAGAGTTTAGGAGTATGGTTAGGTCATGCAGAAAGAAAATTAGAGAGACAAAGGCACAACTTGAACTTAATCTCTCCACTTCTGTGAAGGATAACAAAAAGTCCTTCTACAGATACATCAATAGCAAAAGGAGGGGCAAGGAAAACCTCCATTCTTTATTGGATATGGGCGGGAATATAGTTATCAAAGACAAGGAAAAAGCTGAGGTATTTAACACCTTCTTTACCTCCATTTTCAACAGTAAGACAGGTTGTCCTGAGGACAGCTGGCTTCTGGAGCTAGTAGACAGAGATAAGAAGCTGAATACCCACCCTGTAATCCAGGAGGAAACAGTTTGCGACCTGCTGAGTCACTTGGATCCCCACAAGTCTATGGGACCAGATGGGATCCACCCAAGGGTGATGAGGGAGCTGGCAGAAGAGCTGTCCAAACTGCTCTCCGTCATCTACCAGTAGTCCTGGCTCACTGGGGAGGTCCCAGATGATTGGAAGTTGGTGAATGCCACGCCGATCCACAAAAAGGGCCCATCAGCCTGACCTCAGTGCCTGGCAAGATTGTGGAGCAGATCATCCTCAGTGCAATCACACAGCACCTACAGGATGGACAAGGGATTAGACCCAGCCAGCATGGGTTTAGGAAGGGCAGGTCCTGTCTGACCAACCTGATCTCCTTTTATGATCAGGTGATCCACCTGGTGGATGAGGAGAAGGCTGTGGATCCAGTCTACCTGGACTTCAGCAAAGCCTTTGACACCGTCTCCTACAGCATACTCCTGGAAAAGCTGGTAGCCCACGGCTTGGACAGGGGTACCCTGTGCTGGGTTAGGAACTGGCTGGATGGCCGGGCCCAGAGAGTGGTGGTGAATGGTGCTGTGTCCAGTTGGCGGCCGGTCACTGGTGGTGTTCCCCAGGGATCAGTGTTGGGTCCAGTTCTGTTTAATATCTTTATTGATGATTTAGATGAGGGAATTGAGTCCACTATCAGTAAATTTGCAGATGATACTAAGTTGGGGGGGAGTGTTGATCAGTTGGAAGGCAGGAGGGCTCTGCAGAGGGACCTGGACAGGCTGGAGAGTTGGGTTGATTCCAACTGGATGAGGTTCAACAAGGCCAAGTGCCAGGTCCTGCACTTTGGCCACAACAACCCCCGGCAGCGCTACAGGCTGGGCACAGAGTGGCTGGAGAGCAGCCAGGCAGAAAGGGACCTGGGAGTTTGGATTGACGGGAAGCTGAACATGAGCCAGCGGTGTGCCCAGGTGGCCAAGAAGGCCAATGGCATTCTGGCCTGGATCAGGAATAATGTGGCCAACAGGTCCAGGGAAGTGATTCTTCCCCTGTACTCAGTGCTGGTGAGGCCACACCTGGAGTACTGTGTCCAGTTCTGGGCCCCTCAGTTCAGGAAGGACATTGAGGTGCTGGAGCAGGTCCAGATAAGAGCCATGAGGCTGGTGAAGGGACTGGAGCACAGGTCCTATGAGGAGAGGCTGAGGGAGCTGGGGTTGTTCAGCCTGGAGAAGAGGAGGCTCAGGGGAGACCTCATCACTCTCTACAACTCCCTGAAAGGAGGTTGTAGCCGGGTGGGGGTTGGTCTCTTCTCCCAGGCAGTTATCAGTATGACAAGAGGGGATGGTCTTAAGCTCTGGCAGGGGATGTTTAGGTTAGATATTCAGAAGAAATTCTTTACAGAAAGGGTGATCAGGCATTGGAATGGGCTGCCCAGGGAAGTGGTGGATTCTCCGTCCCTGGAGGTTTTCAAGGTGAGACTGGATGTGGCACTTAGTGCCATGGTCTAGTAAGCATGGCGGTAGTGGACCAAGGGTTGGACTTGATGATCTCAGAGGTCTCTTTCAACCTGGCTGATTCTACCATTATGTGTAGAGAAGCAAGTGTTTCCATTACAAGTGCATTATACCACACAAAGCTAACATGCTTCCATTAAGAGGCCAAAAATGCCCCCCAAAAATAACTGCACTGATTTCAATAAAGAAATATACATTACAAAGTCTGCTGTCCTGAATAGTAATAATTGTACTATATCTCTATATATCAACTATATAAAATAACGGTTTTGCATTTCCCAGTGAAAACTAAAATATCAAATTCTGAGGTGTGCACTTATGGTTTAATAAACTATTTACTTAAGCTTGTAACAAAACTTTAAATAGAAAATTAAAAATAGAAAATTTCTGAAAAATGCGACTTTGTAGCATTCTAAATATTTAATTGTTATTGTTTAACCAGAAATATTGGAAGGCCTTTATCCTTGAGGCAGCAAGTGTCTTCTTAAGCTCTTGGAGTCACTAGCAATATACAGTCTGTGTACAGGACAGATTCTGTTTCTAATTACAAGAAAATTATCTATAACTTGAGTCTGGAAAGGACTTAATAAGACTATCCCCTCCTCCCCAGCCCTCTTGCACCAGCTTCCTACTATATGTGCTCCATGTGATATGAGGGGGCAGTGACCATGAGGCTGCACAGCCTCTCCATCACCTCACACCTGGATGTGGCTCTTCAGGTTACAATTACGTTAAAATTATTGTACTTGATATTAGACTAGTATTTTCTGATTTGCATCAGCAATTTAATCTTGAGATCTTTTCTCCAATATAAGACAAGTAACAGATGACCCATGCATCTGATATGTCTGCTGTAGTTAGATGTGGCAGCTGAATATAGGACAAGTGGCATGACAAATCCTGGTTTTATATAGTGATAACTTTCAAAATATTAACTCCTTGATTGACATTTACTGTCATTTTTTCTTATTTTCGGTTTTGGATTTTTTACAGTTTCTGCTAAACACAAACTTCTGATTTCCCAGTGACTGGGACAAGTACACTCCTCCGCTTGTAAATGAAAATAGAGAATACTTAAAATTCAGTTTAGTTCAGACAAAAACTAAACCAACAGCAAATGTAAAAGTCATGAAGTTTTCCTTTAACAGGTCTAATGAGGCAGCTGCCAATATTCTTGGATAATTTACAGAATCACAGAATTATTTAGGTTGGAAAAGATTTTTAAGATCATTGAGTCCAAAGTTTAACGAAGACCTGCCCCCATATAGGTGGATCCACAGTCTGGAAATCCCAGACTCTTTCACTGTCTTCATCAGGTCTGGGATCAGCCTTTTTGCGTCATTGTCATTTCTTCTCCTGCTCAGGCTTTGTTTGTAGGGCAATTTATAAATCAAGGCTCATGCTTACCTCATGCCACATGGAAATTGTGGTTCATGTATTAACGTGAATTTAGTTGTAGTAGAGAAGGAAAGTAAAACTTGCCTTCTCATCCTCCCAAAGAACATTTTCCTCCAGGCAATGGAGCCAACCGTCCTGCTTCATCAGATGAATATAAAAGCTGCATGTTTCTGATTTGGTAGCTTATCCTACTTTCGCTGCTTCCCTTTGCTTCAGAGAAGGTTGGTCTGCTTCCCTTTGCTTCAGAACAGTTTGTTTTTTTGACGTGGGCTCATCAAAGAAAGTGGACATGTCCCAAAATGCTCAGATTTTTTATTGGGCAATATCTACCTACCCATCTGCGATCATATTCAAGTCCTCCAGGACAAATTTCAGACGTATATATTTTATTGCACTATCCTGAATGTCTCCCTATCACTCTTTTCAGATACATAATAAACTGTTCAAAGCCAGGACACAAGCCTCCCTTGTTCATTCATATGCTGTTGGCTTCATGTAAGCAGCACCAGCTCTGTAGTTTTGTGGAATGGACTCATTTATCACTGAATGTGATGCTGATGATACTACCACCCTTCACTTATGTCAGATGCTTCACAGCTGTCTGATGAGATAGGTTTCTTATTCCTCTGGCAAGGCTTCACAAAAGGCACAATGCTAAAGATGAAAGGTCAATTTTATAAAATAGATGAAACCAGTGAGTAGTAGATTAAACTAACTTTCTGGTAAATTGTGCCATTACTTTCCAGTAAATAATGTCATTATTTACTGGAAAGTATTTTCAAATTACTTGACAAACAACATAAGTTCCAAGATAAAGAAGATACTCATTAAATGGTGGAAAATTAGGCAGCTTTACAAACTCAATTATGCCTTTAGTTTTCTTTCCACTATGATCTAGTCCTTTAAATATTTACTAACAGGTCATTTTAGCTAGGCTAACTTACGAAATCTGCATACAAGTTAGAGCTAAATTCTGTCTGCAGAAATAGCACTGTTTAAGCAGCGCTGTTTCTAGATTTATAAGTGAGATGGTACAAGGGATGGAGCCCCTTCCAAGCAGCACACACAAAAGACCTTGCACATCCCCTCACACTCCAGATCCTCCTGAGAGTCATCCTCACTACTTGCATCACAGCCATTTTAAGCAATCATTTAAATTTGTGGTTGCAAGTCAAAAGCACCTTCCCTGCTAGTAAATAAGTAGAGAAACTTTCTTTGCAGAGGTAGGAGGTTTTGTGTGGTTTTGTTTCCAGGGGAAATTACTGACTGGCATGGCTGCTAGCCAGTATAACAAGGGGAACAAGTCTCTTCTGCAGTGGAAAAGAATTACTAATAAGAGAAAATATTATTTCCGGCCTAAAATACTCAATGCTGTTATCTTTACAGAAGCAGTGAAGCCAAAATCAGTGGGGAATCTTACATGAATAACAGAAGGAAATATAATCTGGTTACATAAGAAAACATATTTCAAGTAACCATCTTTCAAGTAACTCCTTAGCAGAGCTTGAAAATTCCTGGAGAGCATTTGTGACTGTTGCTTGTGGTATGAACAGAAGAGGCTCTGCAAAGCTCTTCCAGCAGACATAGTGGAGGATTATAAATGTAGCCTTTCAAAACTGAACTTCATTAGCTGAGAAAAGAATTATAACAAGTAGTTGCCAGTGACCTTGAAGAGGCTCAACTTAGTAACCCAACAAGGTTCCTTCTAGTTCTGTCACCACACTTAAAGCCACTTTGCTAAAGTGTGATTAGCTTCTTTATTTGCTTTCATAAACACTTGTGCCAAAGGTTTCTGTTTTCACAGATATATGGGGAATGATTGCTGTGGATGTGAATGTATGCACTCCTGCATGCAGGTACTCCCAGAAAGGACTCTGTGTGCCAGAGTGTCCCTCACCCCTTCCCTTTAAAGTTTCAATCACACAGGCAGAGAGCAGAAGCGGGCAGTTGCATGTTACTTAGGAAGATGGCAACTTACCCTGGAAAATAAACCATTCAGATGGTCACATATTCTATGTTCTATAAATCACAACTACCACGAGAGGTGGAAGGGACAGTTCAGTAGCATTAGGCTTGCAAGGTGTGTATTCTCTCTACGCTCATGAAAAAAGATTTTGGCAAAGCTGGTCACAGCTGTGCACATGCAAACTGACACAGTAATATGAAAGCCTATGCCCACCTCTTGACCACTCCACCCTGGCCTAAGCTCCTATACACTCTCTCAGCCCCACAAGAAGGTCTTCTTCTCAAGTCTTTGGCTGGTGAACACCAGTCAGCTGTCAAAGTCTGCTGATGAATAATCCCTGACAGAAAAAAAAGGGCTCTCTTCTCTGGGCAAATGGTGCTGGAGAGCCTGCTAAGACTCCCTCTCCTCCCCTATAAGATAGAGCTGCAAATCAGATGAAGATGTTAAACCGACAAACAAATATTTATATAAAATCATTGAGTGCTGCACCCCAAGGTCGCTGTGGAAAAAAACAACACAGTAAATTTTTTTAAACATGTTTTGCTTGTATTTTCTTCTTTAGAAATTACAGCACATTTACTTTCTGAATTATTTTCAAAGAGGGCAAGGAATAAACCACAAAAATACACATTTCGCAACTCTCATTCATCTCCAATGTAGCCAGGGGAAGTAGATTTGCAGATACATTTTCATCCAAACTCGTCTCCTTGAATATTTCCATCTTTTTCCATCTTGCCTAGATAACCAAACACAGATACCAGAAAGATTAATTTCTTCTTTCTGGCTGTAGTAGGGACCTCTGTTTATTGTTTGCCTTGGAATATATAATAGCTTTTCTTCCCTACATGCCTATTTGCTGCCTTATGTCTCGTCAAAACATTTACCCTCAGTCAATGCACAGAAAGTTTTACTGCTGGGAGAGCATTTAAGAGCATCTCTTTTTGAACCTTCTGGAGATCTATACCTAGAGCCTCTCTCCCATTTTTCTTTCTGGCATCCACAGTGTGTGTGTGTGAATGTGGCTCAGTCCATTGCCCATACACAATGCAGTGGCCATAAGTGGGGCAGGAGTTTTATCCAGCTCCTCAGCAAAAAATCTTGCATTACCTACATACATTTGTCAACTGGCACATGATTTTCCATGCCTTTTACACAAATAATTTAGTTTCAGCAAGTAATTTCATTC